AAAGGAGATGGGATTTGAGATCTACTCTGTGCTTAAGGAAGCATCATACTATCAAACAGCAAAAACTGACGCTGAGCCATCGTAACTGAATTACAAATTCTCTCATAAATGGTGCACTTGGCCAACTAGTGTGGTATAGTTAATTGCTGGGGTAATACATCAAATTCCCAATTGCAATATACTAGGTGATAATTAAGATTTCAAATTTCAAAATTTTAAAGAATGCAGTTTTGGAGTCTAAGCCATGAGGATACTATCTCTTTAATAAGATATATAATTTGAAATCTTTTTAAAAATGCAATTTCTTATGTTTTAATCCTAGTTTTTACTGAGCAATGATAATATACTGTGAACTGAAGAGAATCAGACTTTCTCTCCCCTACTCATAGGTCTCATCCTAACACATTCCCTAACACATTATCATATATATTCTTGATACTGATTTCTACATGCACATGTGCCTAAGGAGGGCAGTTCATAGTCAAGAGAATAAAATGTTTTTCATATATAATCAAATAAATTATGGGTAATGTCAACAATTTTTCATAGGAATATGAGCTTTTAGGTTTTTCTTTTATTTTTGGAAAGTGACAGAGATGGTATTGTTCCCCTGGTTACAATTTTGCTAAATTTGAAATGGATATTGTAGGGAGAAAAAACCTCTTGGAAAAAAGTTGGAGGACAGGCAAGAATGTGGCAGCTAGTAAACGGCAACACCCATAATTTGTTGAGAATAAGAAAACTTGTTGTTCCTCCAATACATCCGATAGATAAGACCATATGGCATAAAGTTAAGTATTACATAGTACACTTGAGTGTCTAAAATCGAAATCTGTTAAAAACACTCTGTTTTTCAGAGGGAATGGAATTAAGAGTGAAAAGAAAAGCAAACTGCAAAAAGCATCTTTTAGAATAACTACCTACTCAACATAATTGCTTCTTAGCAAAAAAGATTTTTTGTAAAAGTAGTACACATTCATTGAAGAAAAACTGATAGGTGCAGAAAACTACAAAGAAGAAAATAAAAATTACAAGAAACAATTCCTTTTTAATAATTCCTTTTAATTTGAGTTGATGTTCTGAGATCTAGAAGTCAACTATTTTAAAACTGATATGGATATTTAAAAGAAATTTAGCCTGTTAAGGAGATTAATCGTTGACTTTAAGAGCTTTACTAACTAAACTCTCCAAATAAAAGGGAAACTTGCCCCTGTAGCACATTCTGACTTTGTTTCCCACGAGCCCCTAAGGAGTAATACAAGTACATAAAATAGGAAAGGTAATAATGTGTGCCACAAGCCCAAAGCAAAATAAGAACTGCAATGCTCTTCCTGTCAAATTACCCTCCTTGAGCTTTTCTCTCTTTTCCTCAGTTAAAAAAAAAAGGGTGTGTGGGGGGGAAATATGGACACAAAACCTTTCAAAGTGATTAGTAACTCCCACAGCATGACTAATACGCCTATTACTAGTGTAATGAGCAGGTGGCAGCAGAAATCCAACTTTAAGTCATTACAGTGGTCTATTCACTCTATTCCTAGTGCTTTAACTACCAGGCCAGTTGAACCTGCCCTTTGACCTGCAAATTCTAATAGAATCAAGATGTCTCTAAAAGTACTCTGCTGTGGCATCTGAGCTTCAGGAAACAGCAAGATCACCCCTTGCCCCTTCCCCAATCTGACAAATTTCAGAAACTGGAAGCAAATATCAAAGGCAAATGGAGTCAAAATCCTTTTGATAATTCTGGAGTCCTTGGGAACACTAACAGCATTAACCTATCACCAATAAATAAGAGATTATAATCAGTGTTGGAATGATCGTGGTTAAGAAATCTGAGTGAGTCCTAAGTCTGCATGTGTGCTTAAAGGAAATGTAAGACAGAGATGGGAGTCTGAATGGATGGATGGTATCAAAGTTTATTATTCCCTCTTCCTCCAACTGAGTATTTCAAATTGAATAATTGCATAATCATGTTTCAGAAATTCTATAATCCTGAAGACACCACAAAAAATATGGGATGATAGCAAGAACAAGATTAGTAGCTTTGGGCAATTTACTGTCATGGACATATAGGCATAGTTTGAAATATGAAATCTAGATTTTCTTATTGATGGATTAAATAAACCTTTGAGTCTGCCGCCTTCTTTGTTATTTAATGAATTTCCCAGAGTGACCACCACATCTCTTCTACTCTTCTATCACATTTCCTGAAGAGATCCTTCTGATTACTATTTTCTCCGACTTTCCTTGCAGAGATGTTAGAGTATGGTAGATACGCTACCTTAATTGAGATCTGTGAAAACCACAGCCCATGGGTGATCATGCCTCTGTGGGCAAACCTCGCTGAAAGATCTGATCTCTCAAACTTTGATCCCTATACATCTTATGACATCATCTCCGGGGTGCCTTTATTCAGGTGCCCAGAAATGTCATTAACGTAAAATGTCAACAGGAAATCAACTTTTCCTTCTACCACAACAAATGTCCTTTTCATTATTAATAGAGTCATGATAAACCTGGGTCCATAGGCTGACAACATTTAAATAATTTGATTTCTTCTTTGCTCAGTGGCTAGTATTCAATTTTGGCTAGTTCCTCCTTTCTAGTTTTTAATGAACCCACTGTTTTGTATCTGCATGATCACTATCACTGTCATGACCACCCTTTTATCATGGGTCTATACTATTCTTTAAGGTCTTTTTTCTCATTTCCCCATCATTCTGCATTATCCCTATTTACTGAGGTCATTTTCATTAGGTCACCTCCCCATCAAAAGCTCTCCCCTAATATTCACAACCTTCTATAATTTTTCAACCCATTTCTTTCTCATTGTCTTCCAAGTGCACTGAGACTTAGAGTTTCTTCTTATTTTTACTTTTATGTTATGCTCTCTACTGAAATGCCTGTAGTTTTCTCTCCTGCAAAACCTTGGCTCCTCACCTGATGGCTAATTTCTCTCTATTGGACATCCCGTTTCAGAATTTCTAGTTGGATTCTATTAAGAGACATTTGCTCTGTAAATGTCTTTCAATTTTTCTACATGTTTCAAGCTTATCTCTTTAAAGTTTTTAAATATTTCTAGAAGTTTATTGGTCTTTCAAGTTATTAGTTCATTAATTTTTTAAATTTTTAGAATTTTTATCTTTCAGATTTACAATTTTTTAACTGGGGTAAAATACACAAAAAATGTCATCTTAACCATTTATAAGCAAACAAACAGCTCAGCAGTACCAAGTACATTCACCTTGTGCAACCAACCTCCAAAACTCTTTTCATCTTACAAAACCGAAACTGTACCCATTAAAGAATAACTCCCCCTTTTCTCCTTCCCCACGTCTGATGATCACCATTTACTTTCTATCTATGAATCTGACTACCACATAAGTGGACTCATACAGCACTTCTCTTTTTGTGCCTAGCTTATTTCACTCAGCACGTTTTCAGTGTTCATCCATGTTGTATTAATAGCATGTGTCAGACTCTCCTTTTTCAAGGCTGTATAAAATTCCATTGTATGTCTATACCACATTTGGTTTATCTATTTATCCATCATTGACGCGTGGGTTGCTTCTACCTTTTAGTTACTGTAAATAATGCTGCTATCTTTAAATTTTTAAAAATATCTGCTATCTAGAGCTTTGGTTCATGGATCTGAAAACTAGAAGCTTTCAAATATTGTTAATTTTATGCATGGCATGTGCCTAAATTGCTTATTTTGTTTGTTTGTTTTTATTTAGGGCTATAGTTACTGGTATCATTTGCCAGTTTTCATTGTTTGCCCACAGCCTCTGATCAGAAATAGCTAGAATACAAACTCCAAGAAGGTAGAATCTTTTG